CTCCTGAGTAGGTGGGGCTACAGATATGTACCGCCAGTCCCAGCTAGTTTTCCTTCCTCTTTTTGATGGGGTCTCTCTTTGTTGCTCAGGCTGGACTCAAACTGCTGGCCTCAAGCAATCCTTCCTTGGCCTTCTAAAGTGCTGCGATTACAGAGTGAGCCATTGTGCCCAGCCCTGATGTGAAGTTTTAAATGCAGGTCATGCTCTGTCCGTGTTTCCCCATAGTTTGTTTTTTCTAACTTGTACATTTTAATGATGGCTACAAACATCTGACATTTTAAGTTTTCTTTCCAAGTTCACCCTTTTTCCAACCAAGGTGTGGCATTATATATAAAACAAACACAACATATGCAATAAGGGTAACATATGCCCTCATGTATAAATATGTATTATTTATATAATGATGTAATTTGTAAAAAATAATTTAATGTTCTATATATTAAGACATAATTGATAAAATATTTTAAAGAGATACTATAGGCGATTAACTCACTGCTAGTTTATCAACGCAAAAAAGAAAATTCTATCATGTGTGAAGGATGGGGAATCACAGCAGACACTGTGATTTACAGCAAAGCTCAAGGTTCTGGGCCCTGGGGGTACCTAGAGATACCTAGAGACTAATTTCTTAGCTTCATAAAAGTTCCATTTTCCACACAATGGATTTATCTAGTTACTCAAGGAATTCGAAGTTGTTTTAAGGCAGTCGCCTATTGTTTTTAAGTTGGAAATTGTTTTAAGGAGATAGGAGATGGAGGACACTGAGAGCCAATGGGAGAATGAAATAATGTACAATTTCTTACAAAGTTTTAGTGGTGCTTTATTTTTAAATCATAAACCTTAATCCAAAGCACATTATGTTTATTTTATAAAATAAGTCAGCAGTCACTAAATTTTCTTACCACCTTTCGTATTTTTGATGTGTTTTCTAAATGCGACGTTGGCTTTTTATGGGAAATAATTTTTCTTTTTTTTTTCGGTTTTTGGCCAGGTTTGGCATATGGGGCCAGAGCCCTACTCCTTTGGACCACAGGCACCGTCCAAATAATCTTTTTTTGATACTACAAGTAGGAAGAAAGAAGTTTTGTCTAAGATGCCTGCAGGAAACAGGTGCACTTGGGGAGGAGCAGACTGACCCGGTGATGTAAGGGGTGGAAAAGAAAGGCGAGGTGCGAGCCACACGGACGGCAGCCAGGTGTGCAGGGTGGGGGAGCCACGTGCCAACTCACAGACAGGGAATTCAGGGAGCAGAAGGTGGCGGAGTGACCCTAAATTCCTTGATGGCTTTGTGTGCCCATAAGACAATGATGCAGAAGTGTCCAAGAGGCATTTGGATTTGTGAGTCCAAAGCTCCAGAGCAAGGTCACTGCTGGGTATTTTTATGTCAGGGCCTTACAGGTGGATCCCGCACCTGGGAGAGAGAGATAGTCAGAAGGAGCAGAGCGGGCAGAAAAACCAAGGGAGTTAGATGTTTAGAAGCCAAGGGGGAAAGACAGCTTCAAAATGGAAGGCAACGTCAGACTATCAGAGGTCACAGAGAAGTAAGGTCAGGACCACAGAGTGTCAGTGCAGTTATCAGCAAGGAGAGCCTGGGTTCTCCATACAGAGGCAGTTTCAGTGGAATTGCTGTGGGGAGAAACCATAGTCTAATTGTGGATGAGAATGACAGCAGGAGGTGGCTGTTGTCCCAAAGTGGGATTTCCATTTCTTCCTTTTTTTCTTATTATTCTTTACTTTTTTCTTCTTCATTTTATGATGTGAGCTCCTTAAGCATGTAGAAATGGGGTTTGAGAGGAGCTGGGGTGGGAACGCAAAGGAAAGGA